CTTAGAATGACTACCGAGCTATGGCGGGTTATGCACTCGTGGTGGCTTATGAAACTTGGGTTCCCCACCCTACCACACTCACGATGTTAGCCTGTTCCGGGCCTTGAGGCATACTGGAAACCCCCAAGACTAAGACCTCCTGCTACTCCTCACCACATGGTTCAATCCTCTCTACTTGAGAATGAAAGACCATTGTCGTCAGGAAAACCCCCAAGACTGAGCTTCCCTGCAGATCATTCTAAACACTAAGGCACCACCATGAATCTTCTCCTTGAAGATCATGGAATTACGTCAATCCACCATACTCTTAACCACATATCCTTTTACTTTAACCATACATAACATGTTGAATATCCTCATACAATATAATATGTTCCCATAGATATTTCACAACCAATGTAACCACCCCTTAGTCAATCATACAACAAGAGTATATTAATCTACTAGACATCAGAACTTCTCGCACATCGCATACTATCCGCAAGGCGAGACATGATCCTCTCGCACCGCGCACACCTTAATTCGCATAGCGAATTAAGTCGCAGCATACATCAGACTTCAAACCTCTCGCATAGAGCACCCAGGTCACTATGCAAGAACCAAGACAGAGACCAACCTCCCCAAAGCTCTCGCTATGCGCCCCACTCGCCCTTCGAATTAAAAAGGCAGTGATCCCAGACCACCACCAGTCGCATAGCGACAGGATTCGCCATGCAAATCCGCAAGCAGAGAGCAACACCCTCTGGTAATTCGCACCGCGCAACAGCTCGCCCAGCGAATTACCCAGATAGTGAGCACCCTCTCTAGGGTCTCGCTATGCGAGACAGATCACATAGCGACTTTGCATCATCTACAGAACGCGAATTCTGTAGAATCACACACTCACACCAGCCCTTACCATTTCTAGACTTCTTGACCAACTTCTAAGACTTCCAATTTGTGTATTAAGCTCCATTAAACTCGCCTAGATGATCATGAATGTTCTTATTATGATTCTAAAGTGATTTATACTCCCGTTTTTCTCTAAAACACCACAATCCATAACTTAAGGACCTAAATTCAATTCTGTCATTTTTAACATGTTTTATTCTAGTTTTATGACTCTAATAAGTTCTAATTGGCTCATCCAAGTTAGCCCAAACTGCCCAATTGGTCATCGATGAAGAACCTAATGTCTGAACGCATCAAACTCACCTTCGACAACAGCACATATGACTAGTCACAACTGACTGGATCAGACCAGGGCTGCTCTATGATCAGGGATGCGCCAACTCAGGTTTTTAAGGTTCCTCTATCCTACCAACAAAGTACTCTCAGAAATTCCCAGTTAATTTATTTAAGTTATACAAACTGTCCTATGGGGTTCTAGACTCAATTTGTCCAATTCCAATACTACACTTCCCTTCACAGTAATCTAAAACAGTACCTGTACTATCCATATTGACTATTTTATCATAATTCTTACCCCAAATCTGAAACTCAGTACAACCAACAACTCATCCAAGTCAAAAACATTCAGTACACCATGATTATGCTACTGTTACTCATCCAATAATACAAACCAACATGCTCATCACCAAAAACATAAGATAACAGTAAAATAAATCACAATTTATTTAAACACACACATAATACAGTCCAAACAATATATGACTAGCTCCCCTTACCTTAGTGGTTACAAGCACAACACTCTTTAGAGGAAATCCCAAAACAACACTCTTGCATAGAAGCAAGTTCAACAGGATCTACAAAATGTCAAATTGGGTACATAGACATCTCTTAGAGTTAGAATAGGCAGAGAATCTAGAGAGAAAATCCATTGATTTCATGCAACTAGAAAATTGCATGCCCTAGGTTCAAAGGAAAGGGGGGAACAAAGAAAGATAACTTACCCGTCCAAAGCAGAATTTTAATCGGATGAATGGGAAGCTCTCGACTCCGTGAACGAAAGCACACTACCTATTTGAAATTTCAACGGTGGGAAGTAGTGGAAAAGTAGAGAGAAGTCAGAGTAAGAAGAAGAAAATGGAGTTGAGTTTAGAGAGAGAAAGAGTAATTGGATGAAGAACTGAGAGCTGGAAAATGAGACCTCTTCTAAGGTCCTAGTGTCCTTAGCTTCTTGGGCCAGGCTGCAGGACCTAATAGCCTTACAGTTTCAAGCTCTTACATTTTTACTCTAATAAGAACAAAATTACCATTTTAAAATATATTATTTATCATATTCTTAATGTTTTTTAATAGTCTATTAATTCACTTATTTTTCATGAACATCCATGTATTTATTATGTTATTATTGTTTTAGTAATGTCATTATATATAATCACATTCAAACCAATTAGTTTTATGGTTGTAGTTAATGAAATTTAAATTTATGATATTAGTAAGTGTTAATAAAGGTGGAAAAATGGGAAGTCCGACTTGTTCTAACTCTCCATCATTAACTTACTAAAATCGGAACAAGACTGACCCACAGTGCTAAAAATGGTAACTCAAGTAATTGCCAATTTATTTTAATTTTTAATTTTTAAAATTTTTAATATATATATATATATATATATATATATATATATATATTTATATTTATGTATATTAGTTAATTTTTTAAAATATATCCTTAATTTTAAAACTTAAAATTCATAATATTTAAAGATATTTTTGTTAACTAAAATTTGGTAGAGAGGTTACATAAGTTAACAAATCCTTATATATATATATATATATATATATATATATATTAAAAATATATTTAATTATATTATTATTTTTTAAATATTTAATTATATAAATATTTTTTAAATATTTAATTAATTAATATTTTTAGTCAGATAAATTAAAATAATTATTATATTTATATGTTAAATTATTTTATGATAATTAATTATTAAAACTTAATTTATAAGTGTTAATGATTTAAATTATTTTATGATAATTAATTATTATGTTAATGATTTTGAAGTACTTTAAATTATTTTGTATTTTAGTTTTAATTTTAAAAGTAATAAATAAGAAAAAGAACCACTTTCATCTGGCATACTCAAGTGTGTTATAACCCACTTTATCACTATTTAGGTATTGAGTATTTGATATATAGAGGATTGGATGAAGCATTGAGTAAAATATTGAATATAAATTTTGCTCTAAAAGCTTTGATTTTAATTTTTACCACTGTAATGTAGTTGAGGAAGACACCGCTAGGTAGTTTTAATGATAACAAAATATGATTAAATAAAATTGCTATTTTTAAATATAAATAATTGTTTTTTTAAAATAGAAGTTCGGAAATGGATATTATAGCCACTCATTCAGAGTTAACCTTATTATTTTTAAGGGGATTGCAAATATCATAAATAATATTAAATGAAAACTTTTCTAAATGGTTCAAATCAAAAATTTCCGCACAGTATATTATTCATAATATTTTGATTTTCTTACAATAGTATGATTTCTCAGTAATATATTATCCATCATATTTATCCAAAATATTGGGAATCAAATTATAACTTTCATATCGACGTATTAACTAAATTTTATTTTTTTAAACTAAAATTGTGAAAAGTTTATTATCTTTTAATTATTATTTTTGATAAATTGTAAATAAATTATTAAATAATTAATATTAATTAAATAATTAATATATATATTTCGTCAATAATAAATTTTTAAATTTATTTCTCTATTTTGTAGATGTTATTGATTCTTTTTAATTTAAATTTATACTTTTTTTATCAGTTTAATAAATGATATTTTAAATATTTTTTTAAAATTTTCATTTAAATTATTTTAAAATAAAATTTCATATACATTTAAATAAATACAATTTTGCAATATTACCTTAAATAATTAATTTAAATTATACTTCGATTTTCAATTTTTATTACAAAACAATTTTATCATTATTAAATAATTTAAAATATCTTTAATTTAAATTATAAAATTTCGTTATTAACATTATATTTTTCAAAAATATTAAATTACTTAAAAATTAAACTCAATTTAATATATCATTTGTCATGTTACATAACTGAGTCAATAAATTTAATAAAATTATTACAATATTTGTTAAATTTGTAAAATTTTACCGGAACCATTATATTCTGAAAAAAAAATATTTCACTACAGTTTGATCATAAATCATAAACATTACTATTTAGATAGATATGATCATATGGAAGAAATCTTGAAATTGTATTACTTTATAAAGATTTCGCAGTAAACACTTCTTGTGTTTTGAACTTTAAAAACATAATTTTGAAATTTTAAATTGCATACTCGAAACGAAAAAAAAAATGTAGTTTTTTCTTCTAAAATAGTAACTAACCAGATTTTTAGGTAAAGATATTTTTATTTAGCTAATGAAACACTTATAAATAGAATGACAGAGTCAAAGGCCAGGTACATTCCACTTACGTCCTATTAACACTAGATAATACTCTATAGTGATAATAAAATCGCTTTATTGAGAGTTGAGACTCTATAACTCATGTGTGACTTGAACTCACGTCTGACTTGAATATTGGAGTATCTTCGCAGGTACCTCCCCCAATTGTTGGTGAAAGTGAACGACCAGTGTGAGCTGAAGGAGCGAGAACAACTTCTAGAAAGGTGAGCGAACGACAACAATGGAAGAGAAGCGAGCGTCCCGAACATCTAAAAACAACCAAGATACATCAGCAAAATACGTCTTTCGGTCCCACAAAATATCTACTGAAACAAAATATAATATAATTAAATTTATAATAAATAAATAAATAAAATTATGACTAGTTTACTTTTAACTGATAGGAATTTATTAGTTTGCTTGAAACATTTTTCTTCATAATTTTAATTACTGGCGTTTCTATTTTTCCTGTAAAACCAAGCAAAACCTACAAATAAAAAAAATCACTAAAACATGTTTATTATTTCAAATTTCAAATGTAACAAAATCTTTCCCACTCGTGTAATAAAAGCTCTAGGGAATATAGTTACATTATACTACATTAAACACCCAAATTTCTTTTTTCGCCCGCGAAATCCAACCGGAGTTACTGGGTGTGGTAATGAGCACGGTGTACGATGCACCCTCGAAAACGCAGTCTCTTATTCCATTCATTGCATCTAAGATCAAGACAGGGAAATCCCTAGGAGGTCTTACCGTAGTCCGAAGCACAGGGGAGTGAAGTCCCCGAAGAGAGCGACACCAGCGAGGCATGTCGTTTCAAATCCCGAAATTGGACTCATTTGTCCCCCAAAGTTCCAGAAAACGACAAAACCAGCCATCCCCATCTCCCAGATTTCAGTTGCTGACGTGGCATTAACCGGCAGAAAAAACAGTTAGCTCCTCTCGGAAGAGAGACCCCTTCGCGTGTTACCAAAATTTCAAACGAACCTCGGTGAATTCGAGTTCAGAAAGGAGAAAAACCCAAGGCATTGTCTCTTGCCACCGCAACATCCACACCGCAACCTCTCCTTCTTCCAATTCCCTACGCCGCGGTTCCAACGAGCCCGACTTCTCCTCAAACGGTTAGGTTTTTCTCGTTGTCCGAGGATTCCTCGCAATGTCGCTGGTTTCGGTTCCCGTTGCGTTGTTTCCTTTCGCATTCGCGACACCGAGGCCTCTCTGTTAGAGGGAATCCGAGGAATTCCGAGGTTTCGGTGGTAAGCGCGTTTTCTAGGGTTTTCTTTCGAGCTGAAAGTGGTGACCGGAGGAGAATTTCTCTGCGGTCCTATGAACTCTGCGGTGTGGTTGAGCTATGGGGTAGATGTGAGTAGCTTCTCTTGGTTAATTTGAAAGCGCTGAATCGGGTTTCATGGGGAGGGGTTGGACGTTGCTTTATGGTATATGTTTTGTTTTGGTTCGTTGTTCAAATGGGTGTTGGTTCCATTCTTGGGAAGCGCCTCTTATTGCAACTTGAATGGCTGATCCTCAGAAAACTGCTCTTGGCGAGAGAGATATCGAGCAGGTTCAACAGTTTTTGCTTTTATTCTGTTGTTTCTTCTGGGTTTTAATGATTAGTGTAGCAAAATAGAAAATGAAAATAAAATTTACTTGGCTGTGTGTGCCATTCACCTACCTTTTAGTTCTTCGTTCTTATGGTCTTGTTGAGCTAATAAATTTTTAGTGAGGTGATTAATAATTTATAGGATGGGAGTTATACACGATTCCTTAGGTGCTGCCTGTACTGTTTTTCAATCAGAATTGAAGCTTTATTTTGGTAATACTAATCTTTATTATGCTGATTACTGAGGGTGAAACTTTAATTCTAATCGAAGAAAACGTAATAAACACATGTTAGTATGCATCTATGTTTTGTCCTAATTTACAATGGGTGCTGACATAACTGGACGTTAAAGCTGGAAGCTGATGTCTTGCCTTGTGCTTTTTGGTTTTGAAGTCATGGATAATCTTCCTTTAATGATATATAACCCTTTTTTCTCCCTTTTTTAGGCACTTACATTTCTTAAGAAAGGCTCGTATCTTCTAAAGTACGGGCGAAGAGGGAAGCCGAAGTTCTGCCCATTTAGGCTTTCCAATGTAAGTTGCTATTATTATTGTTTGTTAAAAGAGTTGTCATAACCCATCAAAGGAAATAAAACTACCTCCTTTTTTTATTTAGAATTTTATACACTTTATACAGAACAATTTTCTGAAGATATCGCTGACAGTAACAGTTTTGCCGATGGAAAGTGGTAACACAACAACAAATAGGTTGCTATTATATACATGATGACCACAAAATACATTTTATTAGATTAAAACCAGTAGTTAAATATGCATAAAATTCAGTAGTCAACATTACTTTAGGAATATTTTAATCGTTTTGAATAATATAGATGCCAAACAGCTTATTTTAACAGCCAATTATGCCAGAGTGGAAGAAAAGGTCAAATGCCTTTAGATGCATTGTGTCTTCAATGCTATAAAATAGGAATTTTGTATATTATTTTTCAAGTATTAAGCTTTTGCTAGGAATTTAAAATGTGCTTATTTACATGTTTCTGATTTTGCCCACACATATCAACTCTACGTATCTGAAGTATTGTGTTTTTCAAATAAATTTAAAATTAAGGACAAGAAAAATCAGCACGTATCTTCTCTTCTGCCTTGTTCAATGCTATTGGTTTTGCTTTTAGGATGAGTCTCTACTGTTATGGTACTCTGGCAAGGAAGAGAAACAGCTTAAGCTTGGTACAGTTTCAAGGATCATTCCAGGGCAGAGAACTGTAAGTTTGTAAAAGGCCTAGAGATACTATTTTCTCTGGTTAATACTGGGTGCCTTTTTTGAAATTTCAATTATTTCCTTGATAAGCCTTCACCTGTGTTCAATACATCATTCTGAAATGGCTTTTGGGCTTTATTCTTTGTAGAAAAAGTTGAAAAAATACATATATTTTACTGCTCCTTAGTTCTTTATTTTTTCTATTGGATTACTGTACCGTGCTCATTTTTTATTTTATTTGATGTTATCATCCAGGCAACATTTCAGCGGTATCCACGACCTGAGAAGGAATATCAATCATTTTCTCTTATATACAATGACAGATCCTTGGATTTGGTGTGCTTTCTTTCTGCATAATTGTTAATTATTATGAAAATCAAATCTACTAGGCCTGTAATGAAGATTGTCTCATCATCGTTTTCCTCTCACTGACCTGGTTGTGAAAAGCTAGTCTGATATTGAGTTAGTGAGTTGAGTAAAATGGGGAATTTATAGCTTATGAGCTTCAGTATTTGATCCACTGCTAATCTGTGTACAGATATGCAAGGACAAAGAAGAAGCTGAAATCTGGTTTATTGGTCTTAAGGCATTAGTTACTCGAGGGAACAGTCACAAGTGGAGATTTGAGTCAAGAACTGATGACAGTCAGTGTTCTGATAGTCCAAAATCTAGCACACGAAAATCCACTCCTTCAAATACACCATTTTCTGTAACAATGGCTTTCATCTTTTTGTTTCATACAGTTCAGATAGACATTTACAATTTGCTATATTTTTCACTCTACAATTTTATACCACAGGACCCTGGAGATGGCGGTGGAGCTGCTTTTGATGTGAAAAATAGATGGGTTAAGGCTTTCTCTGAAATAATTTCGTTCAATGCAGCTAGCAAGGGTTCCAGTCAAGCTGAATCTATTGCAAATTCCTCTTTATCCTCTGGATCTGCAGATAACTCAAGCAATCGAAATTCTTCATCTGAGGCATTTCGAGTTAGTTTGTCTAGTGCTGTAAGTTCCTCCAGTCAGGGTTCTTATCATGAAGATTTTGATTCCCTAAGTGATATTTTTATTTGGGGAGAAGGTATTGGCAATGGAATTCTTGGTGGTGGTGTACATAGAGTTGGAGCCTTGTCTAGTTCTGAGATGGATGCTTTCCTCCCCAAGGCATTGGAATCAAAGTTAGTTCTAGATGTTCAAAGTATTAGTTGTGGCTACAGACATGCTGTTCTGGTTACCAAGCAGGGAGAGATATTTAGTTGGGGAGAGGAGTCAGGAGGTAGGCTTGGACATGGTGTAGAAATGGATGTTCATCACCCTAAACTTGTTGAAGCTCTTGGTGGCTTGAATATTGAGTTAGTAGCATGTGGAGAATATCATACATGCGCTGTTACTTATTCTGGGGATCTTTATACATGGGGTGATGGTGCTCACAATTCTGGCATGCTTGGACATGGAATTGAAGCCACTCACTGGATTCCTAAGAAAGTAAGTGGTAATTTGGAGGGTTTACGTGTATCTTATGTGTCCTGTGGACCTTGGCACACAGCTATTGTTACATCAGCTGGGCAATTGTTCACATTTGGCGATGGAACTTTTGGTGCCTTAGGACACGGAAATCATAGTAGTGCAACTATTCCTCAGGAAGTGGAAACTTTGAGAGGGTTTAGAACAACCAGGGTTGCTTGTGGTGTTTGGCACACTGCTGCAGTTGTGGAGGTGATAACCGAGTCTGTGGAATCTTCTACAAGCTCATCTTGTAAAAGACTGTACACGTGGGGTGATGGAGACAAAGGCCAACTTGGACATGCTGATAAGAAACCTAGACTAGTTCCTGAGTGTGTAATTGCATTGAGTACTGAAAACATTAGCCAGGTGGCTTGTGGCCACAGTCTTACAATTGCTTTGACAACATCAGGACGTGTATATACAGTAGGAAGCACTGCTTATGGGCAACTTGGCTGTCCTGCATCCGATGGAAAAGTCCCTACATGTGTTAAAATTGCTGACAGTTTTGTAGAAGATATTGCCTGTGGTTCATATCATGTTGCAGTCTTGACTTCCAAGGCAGAGGTTTACACATGGGGAAAGGGTTTGAATGGGCAATTAGGTCATGGAGACAATGATCACAGGAATAAACCCACACTTGTTGAGTTTTTAAAAGATAAACAAGTGAAAAGTGTTTTTTGTGGTTCAAACTTTACCCTTGCTGTATGTCTTCATAAATGGATCCCAAGTGTTGATCATTCTACATGTTTTGGATGTCGTAATTCATTTAATTTCAGAAGAAAACGTCATAATTGTTACAATTGTGGACTTGTGTTTTGCAAATCTTGCACCAGCAAGAAATCTTTAAAAGCTTCCCTTGCTCCCAATGCTAGTAAGCTGTATCGAGTTTGTGAGGACTGTTATCTCAAACTTAAAAAATCTTCTGAATCAGTACCCTTGGTGCAAACTCCTAGCTTGAGAAGTGTAAGTTTGCAAGAGAACAGAACCACTAAAATACAGGGAACACTATTGAGGCTTTCATCTTTTGGTTCTATTCTTCATACAGTAAGTGGTCAATCGAAGCTTCCAGATTCACAAGATATTCATCGTTCCCCGGCTTCAAATGGAAAATTAGAGATGAGGGGTTTTGCTTCTTCAAAATCATCAAATTCTGTTTTTGTGGATTCTAAGAAACACATTTCATTTTCTGAGCCTGCTGCAAGAATATCTTGTCAATCAACATCTCCAGTTTCATCAAAGTCAAGTCCAAGAGAATTGTATGAAGATATAAATGATGATTTAAAGCACAGAAATGATATTTTAAGTCAAGAAGTTATAAGTTTAAGGACTCAGGTAAGCCTTATAACATATATCAGATTCATGTGTATCTATCCTTCTAGAGAACGTAATGTATTGCACATAAGTAATATTTATCTGTTTATGACTCTGACGCTTTGAAAGAAGATTACTTTTGATTAAATTGTTGATTAACTTCTTAAAGCTTGCATATCTCATTGCATTTGATTTGTTATAAGATTCTTTTGGATGGACGAATTTGCTTAAAATAAAAGCAGGGTAATTACAGAGTTTGGAGGATAAGGGATCCAACATAAAACAACAACAACAAAGCCTTATTCCACTACGTGAAGTTGATAACATGAATCCCACGGTGTTATTCTTCTTGGTTAAAGATAGAATATAAAATGCAAATATAATTCAAAAATTTCTAAGAGGAGAAGGTTCTGCATCTACTGTACCATTTTAACTTTCTGATGTAAAAGAATCTGTATCTTCTATGGCACCATTTGCATCAACTGTATACAGTGCATTTTCATTACTAGTTTGTATTCACTGTTCAGGTCTGTGTATTCACATTCACATATGATAATTGAACCAAATAATTATATGTTTATTTGTTTTTATCTTGAGTTATAATAATTACATAATTATATGATCTTGAATTTAAAATAATTATAGTTTTTAACTTTCTGATACTATTTGTTTGTGATTTATAATTGTTGAAAATATTTGAAGTATACTCAACCTGGAACTGGTCAAATGTACTTGTTAGGTTGAAGATCTTACTCGAAAATCGAAAAGTTTAGAGGCTGAACTTGAGAGAACATCAAAGCAATTGAAGGAAGTGACTACAGTAGCTGCAGATGAAGCTGGAAAGTGTAAATCAGCAAAAGAGGTCATAAAATCATTGACTGCACAGGTTGGGTACTCTATCCGTAGGGTTCTTTCTCCTCTTCTACATTACTAAGCATGGTTGTAGTTTGTTTTTATGTAAACTGTTCTTGCAAGGGAAGATACATAACTAAAGCTTTGGTGGGGGATCTTACAAACAAGGAATAAACAAATATAGGCCTTTTGGTGAAATAACCAACTTTAGTGGAGCATATAAATCATATACACTTGGCTTGTAACAAATATAGTCAATTGTTGGACCCCTCAAAGACTTGATGAGGATATTGGCTACATTGATATGTTGTCTTCTAGTGAAAAAACGGATCAGATACAACATGCAATGCTGTCTGGTTATCACAAGTCATTATCATTTGTGTAGAGTCTTCGAATTTAAGCTTTTTCAGGAGTTGCTTCAGTTATGAGTTCGCAAGTCACTAAGCTCATAACTTGGTATTCTGCTTTAACATTGGATTTTGCTACAAGATTTTGTTTCTTGTTTTTTTCAGGATATTATATTTCCTCCAATTAGACATAGGACGTCATGGTGGATTGTCTATCATTGGATGTGCCGTTCTAATCAACATTGGAGTAATCAACAATCCAAGCATGTTCTTTGTCTTCATAAATGAGACTGTTGCCTGGAAATTTTTTAATATACTTCAGTATACAAATAACAACATTCTAATGGTCTTGACAAGGTGGATTCAAGAGTTGACTTACTACATTGGTTGGAAATACAATATTTGGATGAGTAACTAGTAAGGTAGTTCAACATTCCAACTAACCTTTCATATCATCAGGATATGATGAATGCTCTTCTTGATTGACTATCAATTTGATGCCATTGTCCATAGGAATGTCAATTGGTTTGGTATTCAAAATGGCAATTTCTTTCAGGATATCCAAAGCATGTCTCTTTCGAGAGATAATCAAGCCATCCTTGGATTTAGCAACCTCAATATCTCAGAATTAGTGAAGTCTACCAAGAATTTTAGTCTGGAATTGGCAGGAGAGGTGATGCTTTAGGTGAACATGCCAAGTTGATTAGTGTCTATGATGACAATATCATCCACCGTCACAATGAAGTAGATGCATGCCATAGGTGAGTGGCAATAGAACATTGCGAATCATATAAAACTACTTCACAATCATATGAAACGGGTCAAATCAGACACATGATGACTATTTAAGCTTATTAAATCATTTGCTAAGCCAACCTACCATGGTAAAGGAATCTCCCTAAGCAACAAATACAGGTGGTGACTTCGTATAAACCTCTTCACGATTTCCATTGTGGCATTTTTTAATATTAAATTGAAACAATGGCTGATGGAGAATAGTAGCCATGCAAAATACGTGTCTAGTGATGCCCTTTTAGGCATAGGAGAGAAAGTGTTGGTGTAGTGTTGCCTAAATACCGCCATGCAACCTTTGGCAACCAGGTGGACCTTGTTGCTGTCAATTTTTCTGCGAGGGCCTACTCAAAAAGCATAATGAAGCCATTGACACCCAACTATGGACTTGCAAGGTAGATGTGAGATGGATTTCCATTTACCATTGCTTTGAAGTGTACACATTTCATCAATCATTGCTTGTTGATCCACCACTTGGGGTGAGATAAGACATCACACCTAGAGAGCTAGGAATAGACACAAAAGAAACGTAATAGAGCCATGTATAGTGCAAAGGGGAAGACAATGATAACTTAGTGAGGAGATTGATTGTGATTAGAATGAATATCTTTTTGCAAAGGGATGAGCCAGTCTAGGTGATCGGTCCAAATCTAGTAAAGGAGCTAGTGCTAGTGAATAGTTTGGCGTGGCCTCTACAATATCTCAATGGCGGGTGTGTAATATGGGCAATGGTGATATGCTTTAAGGGGATGCACCTCTAGTGGCTTGATTGGAGGAGCATCCCAGGGGAGTGCAAAGTCAACCTGACAAATAGATGGAAGAAGAACAAGAGAATGTGTACATGTGTGGATAGTGTAACTTGTGGTAGGAGACTCAAAGTAAGGAACAGTCTCGAAAAAGGAGAAATTAGCAGGAATACAATATCATTGCAAAATAGGAGTGAAGCAATGCTAAGTTTTGGACAAAGCAAGTGGACTCAACGACATGAAAAGGAAATTGATGAAGTCGTGACTAAATGAGGAACTTGTTTAAACTAAAAGGTGGAGAGCAATTAGGGGTAGGAGACTCAAAGTAAGGAACAGTCTCGAAAAAGGAGAAATTACAGGAATACAATATCATTGCAAAATAGGAGTGAAGCAATGTTAAGTTTTGGACAAAGCAAGTGGACCCAATGACATGAAAAGGAAATTGATGAAGTCGTGACTAAATGAGGAACTTGTTTAAACTAAAAGGTGGAGAACATATAGTTGACGAGATTAGATTATGTAAGAATGGTATTGGAAACCCTAATTTACAGAGAAAGTATTGCCAGACAAACTAGGATAGGGATGGAAGTTGGGGCTAGGTTGTGTGGGCTAGGAGATCTAGGTGCTAGATTGTCAGAAATTTTTTGGCACATGTAAATTTGTGCTTGTGTTTGTTCAGCAAAAAGGGGTTTGTGAGGGCGTTGGAAAAGGACCTCAACATGGGTTTGGTTAGACACTTTATATGGGTGAACATGGTTGGTGGCCCTTGGAAATTTTGATGAAAAAGTTATTGGAGCTATTTGAAAAGTGCAGTGGAAAAGAGTGTGGCAAAAAACTAAACCAATTTGGAACACAGTTCACAAAAGTTTTCATTGGGGATAATGGATCATCGTTTTTTGGATGACCTCTTAGGCCCTAGATTATATTGAATGAGAAAAAGCTGATAAAAAAAGAAAATGATAAAAAAAAAAGATAGACATAATGTTGAAACTGACTAAACATTACCTAGATGTTTTATATAGAGAGATTGAGTTTAAATATGATCGGAGGATATTCAGTTTCCCCTAAAACAAATATCAAATCCTGTACATTAAAACGTTTATTATTTATTCTTGATTCTCAACAGTTAAAGACCAACCTTTTAGCTATCTTATTCACTGTGAGATCTCTATTAACAATTTCAACTAATGGTCTTCGTCTCTCTCCCCTTTTTGAAAGTGTTGATTTTTTATATAAGAAATTGTATGTGCTTAAGGCATAATTGTATTCATATGTAAATCAACATATTTATAGAACATGAACAACCAGAAAAATAATACAAAACTATTAAAAGCTATCAGTTAGTAATCTGATAAAAGATAATGCCTAATATGATAAAAGATACTGACTAAAAATAAGACAAAAACAGATCTTATCAGTTAACATAACTTCTATTTAAAATAACATAAAAGTCCAATGTATTATTTTTGTTAATTAGATCCAACAGTTTTATATTCAACGGAAAGACCTAAAGTCTATTTAATCTAGTCTCCTTGGTGGTGCTTCTAATGGTTTTCTTCATTTACGTCCAAAATCATCTTTACTGATTTTTTTTTTAATTTTTTCCGAATAGTTGCCAAACCAATATCTTCTTCTCACAGACCATAATTTCATATAATGTCCTTTCTTGTTTGTCACACATCCATTTTAGCATTTCAATTTCTATGACAATCGTACATGTCAAACTTGCGGTATGACATCTTCTCCCATTTTTACTTCTAAATCATACTCCTCTTATTTATTGTTAAAATTGCAAGACACACTTTGTCTTTTTCCTATTTAAGTAAAAATATTTTCCTGCCAAAAAATTTCGTGAAAGCTCAAGTTTAAAATTAACTACTTCCCTTGATTTCTCAATCAAAACTATTGCACTCACAAAATCATGCAATTAGGGATAATCTTTGTATAAGCATGACCAAAACTAGATTAAAAAATGTGATGAGGCTTTTAGGCCACAATTAAGATTAAAGATAATTAGCAAGAATTGGATCAAATGTTGAACCTAACTCCAAAGAATCCCATCATATGGAGGGTATATGTACAGGAGAGAGAGAGAGAGAGAGAGAGAGAGAGAGAGAGAGAGAATTAATGGTGACTTGACATGGCATATGCTTATTGCATTTGCAGCAGGATTCCAGGGCTTTCCGTGCATATGGTATTGAGGTAGTCAGAAGACTATCTCCTTTAATAGGAGCCACAGGCTCTACCTTACCATTTACTTTCACTATAAGTGCTCTTGTAGCTCCTCTTTTTCATCAAGCAGTACTGCTATACTGGATTCCTTTCCAGGGTTTTTATGATGAGGACTTAAGGTTAAACCTTGATGTAATCTGTGAGGAACCTAGAAACTGTAATGAAAGAACAAGATAGAAAAGGAGTAAAAGACAAAGTCTTGCACTGTATAATTCACTTTACACTGTAAAAGCCAAAGGTTCCAAAGGAAAACTGCTTTCCTTGCTCACAGGGTTCTCCCTGTTACAAACATCAACTTTTTTAAAACTCTCCCTCAACATCCCACAAGATAAGAATATATAGACTTTCCTATAAAGTCTTCCCCTCTAACAACTAACCATTTTACTACTTTTATCTTTAAATTTCTTCCTAACCCTCCCATTACTTCCATGCCTAACATTACTCTCCTCTGCTGGGACAACCTTGTCCTCAAGGTTGAATTTTAGAAATTTAAGCTGCTTGAGGCCCTCATGACTAATTTCTTCATCCATGCTTTCAACTAGCTCCATTAGTCTAACCAAAGCGATTGTTGACATGTTGATCTTTGTTAATATCTTCTTTATCACTATCATTATTGTTGACTTGGTCATAAATTTTGCAATTAGTTGTCATAAGAAGCAAACTAGCAACACCTTGATCCGTAACATCCAGAAAAATGTTAGCAGGTACTATATCAACAATTTCTAAGCCAGTAACCTCCATAATAACATTTGTGAATTCCTTGACAAGAAAACTTTCTTGGTAGGCTCCAACACATTCCTTATTTTTATTTTCTAGTTCTGAAACATCACAAGTTTTCTCCATACCAGGTAATGACTGAGATCTTGCTTCAACTGATGCATTTGGTTCAACCCCTAGCTCCAGGCAGTAGATTCTCTCCAGTTCAGCTTCATCTGAATCATGTGGTTCAACCACCATTTCAATTTCTGTCAAAAACACATTTTAAATCTGCTCCTGAATCATGTGATTGGCATTCATATTCATTGTTATGCTCTTCAAACTCCAGAGTATCATCGTCGAGTCTATCTGCAAACTAGATCCTTTTTCAGTATCATACGAATCTTCTACTTGTTGCAAAACGTTACCCATTTCTTGAAAAACATCATCATCAGCAATTTTCACAAGTCCACTACTGCCAATGGCATCCTCTTCTCTTTTCTTTTCCTATTGATTGAATTTTCTCCTTCGTCTGAAAGTTTATTTCCTTTCTTGATGCCTTGAAGAAGTTCTTTAATCTCTTCCATGTCTTGCAAATTATCTTCCAGAATATAAAAACCCATGTTTACCACTTTCTTTCCTTTCTTGATATCGTGAAGAAGTTCTTTAATCTCCTTTATGCCCCTAGGATATCTTTGCTAATAGACACTTCTGTCTTCATCTCCGCCATAACTCTTCCTTGCTCGCTGGCCAAACTTTCCTGAAGAACTTACTCTACTTTCTAAAATTTCCCTTTTTTTTGAATCTTGCAGGTCAGTCCAAATTATTAGGAATCTAGAAACTGTGATAAAAAAACAACACAAAAAAGTAGTAAAAGACAAAGTCTTGCATTCACTTTACACTGTAAAAGCCAAAGCTTCCAAATGAAAATTGCATTCCTTTCTCACAGGGTTCCCCCTGTCACAAACATCAACTTTAAAACTCTCCCTCAACATCTGTTTGGTTCCTTGGTGACAAGAAACGTAGACTTTCCTCTGTTTTGATGACAGAACACACCACACACACTCACATCAGAAAAACCTTGTATTATTATGTGGGTAGCAAAGAAAATGTTCGAAAATATCCAAGGGGACTATCTCCCTTCTCACAGGCACAAACCTGTCCGCAACACATACAAAAAAACCACCTGCCTGTCTCAAGACACCTTTCCCCCTTATATAACTAACCCCCCAAAAGACACTACACAGCTTAACAACCACAACACCTCCTAACAGACTATGTTTAGTTTTTATTCCCTTTTCTCCTAACGTAGACCCTCATGGTCCTATCCCTCTCTTTCACTCAATCCAAACAACCTCCTAACATACACCGTACTTATCCTATCAACATCCCACATGATAAGAATATATAGATTTTCCTAGCAAGTCTCCTGCTGTAACAACTAACCATTTTACTACTTTTATCTTTAAATTTCTTCCTAACCCTCTCATTACGTCCATGCCTAACATAATCCTATCCCTATTAGTAATTCCTTAGTCTTGCTTCATCATTCTAGTAGTTATCCCATCATACCTGTCTTGTATAGTGTGGATATAAGCCATGCAAATATCGTTCTTTTTCAAACACTAAACCCAATTATGTCCCGTTTTTTAATATATCTTTTCTTGCTGATAAAAAAGATGGAAAAGGTTTCTCGACTCTCAACCATGTGTTAACCGGATGTAAGTTATTTCCGTTGTTTTGATAACTTTTCATCAACTCCTGTGAAAGATAAATGACTTGTTACAATCTTTATGTCTTCTATTCATCTATTCTTAATCATGTTTTTTTGTAATTTCATAGTATAACTCATAAGTTTTAGACTTCTCTAGTTTTCAAAACATTAAATATTTCCTTTGTAAAATATAAGAACCAAAGTGCTCCTTCTCCACTCACCGAACATTTCCATAGATGTCAAGATGGGCATAATCTGTGAAGGCCTTCTTTTACTTCTTCAATCCAAATTGAAAAGCTTAGAAAAAGTAATTCTCCGTACTGTTTATGATATTTCCCTTCTCAATCTTTAATACATTTGGATTGATAGAATGAAGATAACGAAGAAAGAAGCCTTCCAAAGATAGAAATTTTTTTAAACGAAGATTGTGTTAGAAATAGAGCTGTAGAACCACAATCAAATTTTCTGAGTTTTCTGTCAAATTGAAAAACAATGTCATGTTTGTTTCATCCCATACAAATTCCATGGAAAGTGTAGAGTCAAAGTGCTGTCTTGCTGACAAACCAATAATAAATGGCAAAAACACTGGTGACCTGTTGATGGTTTAAGGGAAAAAAGTTGGACAGTTCACGGATTATGCCCATCTTGACACTTGGTAAATTATATGCGTAAATATAACTAATTTTGCCTGACAAGAGGTTAAAAGAAACTGAACATGATTATTATCGAGGTGGTTAATATTAACTACTTGAGATGCAAAGTTGACTAACTGTTTGACATTTCAAATATCTCATGCCACTACTAACCACAAATCAATTCTCGTTCAGTTAACTATATGCATGGAATTAAAACCTCGTGTGATAGCCAATAATCATATGACACTATTAACTATTTGTGAGTCAAAGTTAATCTCAATTTTCGACATTTTGATAAACTTATGAGATTCTTAACCACATATTCATAACTGTATACAATCACGTTCATTACTTTTAACTACTTGTTGGACAAAGTTAATCATGTTCATGTACGTCATTGGCCACTTGTGATGGATGGATGCTGGGTGGAAAAACCCAATGGCATGTTGGCTTGAACTCTTTTTTTTTTTTTAAAAAAAGTATAGACCAGAAAGCAGGAAAAAGTTATTATTTCTTTAAAATAAAACTCTACCAAACATGCACTAAATCTGTGATATATATTGTTTTAGGCTTTTGGCAGGCAAGAGATTCTGCATTAAGTGATTGCTGTGAAGTTTACTATTCTTGTTCTTTAGCTCGTAATCTATTATCTCTGACTCTATGTTAAATTGTGTTACAGTTAAAGGAAATGGTGGAAAGGCTGCCAGAAGGACACAATGCTGACTCCAGTACAGAGCTCTGTGCTGAAACCACTAAAAATATTCTAGATCATTCCTTGGATGTGAGCCATATAAGAAACACTATCATGCTAAAAAATGAAGGCAGCAGCAATGTAGCAAATCTGATATTACCTAATGGTGCCAAAACACAAAGTGGAAAGGCAGAGTGGGTAGTGCAAGATGAACCAGGTGTGTTCGTAAGTTTGTCTCCCCAGCCAGGTGGTGGTAATGAGCTTAAGCGCGTTCGCTTCAGGTATGCTGTGCTCTAATTTGTTAAGGCTATTCATACAGAACTATTACAAATGTTTATGAACTCATGTTCTCCAATTAAATTAGAAGTGACGCTGCTTTGTTAAATACCATTTTGCCATTGTTGGTTTCCTCTTTTCACCTATAAATATTTTTATCAATGCTTTTAACTAAGAGCGTGGTGGATGTTGGGGATCAAGCTGTTCAAAGTACTTTTTCAACCACCTCATGTAATTCATATCTATTCTGTTTTAACCATTTCTTTTTATCTATTTCTTTTCCTTATTGAATCTGAGACTCGTTATTATGGATTATATTTAATGGACCTTCATTCCATGCATCTACATCCATCTACAACTTGTTACTCCATGAAAACATGAAATACTATCAGATGTGGTTAATGTGGGGGATTGATAGAGCTTCTGTAGTAATGCAGCTTTTTGAGTGCATGCTACTTGCACTATTGTACTATTGTCTGAAAATGAGGCACTATTACAAAATCGTTATTTGAAATGTCACAACTCAATCTATCAATACCGTCTACAACTTTAAAGTGGTCAAAGCTTGCTCATTTTAGTGAATATCTTTACAATGAACTGAATACTTCCGATACATTATGCCAGTTTTTTCTTTGAAGAAAGAAAAAGCAGATTTTAGTTGCTTATATATTTATAAGATAAATCATAGACTAAAATTGGTTGACACAAGTGATAGCGTCTTTTTCTCCTAAACCCATGGTGATACCACTTTCGATATGGAATAATCCATGTCGGGAAGGGATTACCCATCTTGTATGCGCTCTAGGTTCCCGACGATATTAATTATTGCTTCCGCTGATGATCAACAAGAAAGAAATCATATTGTTGCCTTTTGCATGGGCTTATCTTCCAAATTTAAAAATATTTATAAAGATATATAAAATAACATGGGGCCTGTTTGGATACAAAGCTAGAAGTATTTTTGGAGTTTCTCTACTGGGAAAAACATTTTATTTAACCCTTTTGTTATTTATGAAGAAATTTCAAAATGACAAAAATATTTATGAAGAGATTTCAGATTGGCATGAAATTATTTATCAAGAGATTTCGGAATGGTTCATAGTTGACTACAATATATTTACCTTTTTTTATACTTTGTCGATTTTATTTAACCCTTTTCATTCTTTAAGTGAATTATGATAATAACCTCGTAACCGAAAATTGGGTAGAGAACAATATTTCGTGGAATAATTGTGGGCTGATTTTTGGTTTGGCATATCCTCGATCCTCACTGAGACCGGGTCTGAGGGGAAGGAGATATCGTTATTCAACCCCTCGCTAGCTATTTGTATGTGGAGCAACAAAAAACAATGGAAAAAGAAAATCTACTGCATTCTTTTAAAAATATTTTAGGAATATGTGGTGAATGTTTAAGAATATTTTCTTTATCTGTTTGTCCAGCATTTAGGTTTTTGTGTAGACTTAACTGAAATTCTCAGTTGTTTTTACAGTCGAAAGCATTTTACAGAAGAAGAAGCTGAGAAGTGGTGGACGGAAAATGGAAGCAAAATATTGGAGCGGCACAATATAGTTGCTTTATAGAATATGCAAGAGAATCTTTCTCCCGAAGCAAAAACTTATCCTTATTCTGTGACGCTATGCAAACAGTAAATTCTTTTCCCTTCTCCCTCTTCCAAAATTAACAAGGATATTCTCCAAAATTGACAGGTAGAATACAGAATTATGGGGAAAAAAACCACAGGAGGAAACTTGTAACTTTCCAGAAAAATGCTCCTACAACCTCCCTCCCCTCAGCCAAAGAAAGAAAAAAGGAAAAAAGGAAAATAGCGGAAAAAAAAATTCTTTACTTAACTCACTGACAGTTGTGATGCAATTCAGCTGTTTTATTTTTGGTACAACTGCGTGTATGTTTACTTGCAGCTGAGGATTCTTTTGTTCAGTTTCTTTTTGCCTATTGTATAGCAACTTCTCTTGCCAACCTAGTGATTTTTTGCTCTGCATTTTGTCAATACACCCACTTCATTTGGAGCATTGCAAGGCACTGCACTTGACATCCATGGCTGTATGCGCGGTTAGTCGTTGGTCCCTTTTTACCATTCTGATATTCAATACCTTTTCAAAGGTACAGACGGGGATGGTATTTAAATTTGGCTAGGTATCCTCAGTAAAATACGGATATGTACATTAGGTAGTTATTTATTTTTAAGCCCCGTATATTATCTGTTGGTTTTATTTTTTATCCTTCGGACTCACCATTTTTCTCGTTAAATTTAGATCATCATTGGTTCTTGGATAGACATATCATTAGGAAAGCCAATTTGTGATTATTATCACTCCTAAAATCTTGCAGAGGTTGTTGTTGGCAAATGTAGGAAAAATGGTGATGACTGCTCTCAAGTGCATCTTCAATGGAGTAAGTAGCAAAAGTACTATCCAAGAACCTGCGCTCAAATAAAACATTTTTCTTCCTCAAGTTTCATTCCTTCCTAGAACTTCGTGGCCTATCTCGAGAATTTTTTCATTTCACTCTCCTTTTTTGCCCCAGGATTTCCTGTCACTATATCCTGCTGTTGAAACTGGAAGTGGAAAGTTCCATGGTTTGTCACATTGTAAAATTAACGAGTGTGCATTAAGCTTCTAGAACTTTAATACATAATGACCTAAGTAGAGATACAATCAATGCATAAGGAAAATAATTACTTTACTGAAATCAAAGCTTGCTGTGGGTCAATCCTTTTTAGGTTGGACTATTGTAGTTTTGTTTAGCTCAATCCAGCTCATGTCATCATAGGCAACAGGCTGAAAATTTTTCTTCCTCTAAGTTTTTGTGACATTACTAATTTGAATCCTTTTCTCCCATCAATGTCCATTCATTTTATAGGTGGTGCTATATTTTTTTATACAAATTACAGATAAAAGGAGTTAAAGTAGTTGTCCTTTTGTTTATATAATGAAGTAGTTGGCCTTGGAGTAACGTCTTATTTTTATCTATAAACCTTTAGTACATGCATTATTAGGATTTTTATAGGTATGTGAAAGTGGGAATGTTCCCATCTCATACAGTTAGATAACATTAAAAGAATACAAAAGTGGTTCGTGGGAAGTAACTTTGGTTTAGAAGATAATTATAAAATGTTGGCATGATTGACTAAACTTATAAGTAAAAGGAAAATAATAAGAATAAAAATAAAATCATTTTTTTCGAAAATGAATTTTATTCTGTGCTGAAGTCGATTATTAAATAAATTTATAAGAATGGATATCTATAAATTAATTTACGCATAACTTAATTTTAATTTATTAGAAATAAAAAATTGTTCAAAGAGGAAATTTAACATCTATAAAATTATTTTTCGGAGTAGAATTCTAAAATAGTATGAAACTTTTTAAAAAATTAAAATTAAAATATATTTGAGAATTAAAAATATGTTTCTGTAAAAGGAATACATCATTTGGGTAGAAAATTGTTTCAAAAAGTTCTATAAACTTATTAAAGAATTTTGAAAATTCATAATTTATTATTTTAAAAGTAAGAAGAAAGTTAAACTTTTTCATTAATTTCTCTACTCTTTTCTCTCAATCACCCTCAACCCACAAATTGATAGCAGTGATTGAAATAATAGACCTTAACTTATAATTATGATACTATGTTAAAAAGTAGATATTAAATCTAACTTAAACTTCACAAAATTTGTTTATAAGATGAAATTTGCATCCACATACATATTGTAAATTTATCTAATTTCTATTCAATATGAGATTTTCAACACTCTCTTTAATTTTTAAATATTTTAAGATTGAGAAGTAACTTATATTTAGTTTATCACTAAAAGCATAATGGTTTAAAATGAAAAAAAAAATCACTTACTATAAAGATATTAGATGTTATAATTTGTTTTGATGTGTAAAGCAAGGATATAATGATGTATCTCAAAAACATTTTGGTACTCATTAACAAAAGAAGTACAAAATTGATAATTGTGTTTATATATATATATATATATATATATATATATATATATATATATATATATATATATATATATATAAATAAAACAAAAAATGAAAAACTAAAGAGAATCGATCTG